TAAGATCATTTCATTAATATTTTAAGGACATTGTCCCTGATCTAGAAGAGGCATAATCAATTCAGTAATCTTTATCTGCATCTTTAACATCTCTTCTGCTTCTGTCTATCTGTACAGGAGTGGTAACACTGCTTTTCCTCGCAGGGGTGGGTCAGAAAGATGGATTCAAGAGCACAAGGTGCTGAGCTATTGCAGTTAGTGGATGCACGCAAATAGCTTACGATGAGAAATGTGGAAGTGAGTCCGTTATTAAATTTATACCGGGCTAACAATGTAATCATATTAGCCTTTGCACTTTCTCCTGTGCTCCACTTTCTACATTAGAATATCTCCATAAATCTATTCAAAGCCATTTCATTTGTTCCCTTTAATGTGTGATGCAAAGAAACACCTCAATACTTGATAAGTAGTGGGTGGGCTGCAAGTGCTGCCAGCTCTATCTGCTGCTATGCTCAGTCCTCAGGTGCGTGTGCTTCTGTGTCTGGCATGGATTATTTTGCTGATCAATCTAATCTAGATTATTAGCCTGTGGAATGATGTATGTTGAGCACCCTGGGCATTTGCTTGACAGTGATTTTAACACCTAGGATCTGGCTCTCTGGGGTCACAGCAGTGCAGCAGTAGAAGGGAGCAGTGACGCAGGATTTGCAAACAGCGGTGTGTGCTGCCAGGTCGAGGGCATTTTATCAGGACCAAAGGCTGCTGATGAAGCGCTCCAAAATGAAATGCCAGGCTGAAATGTCAGGCTTTCTCTAAGCCTTTTATGTCTGAGACAAATATTCACATGTTTTTCCCATGGATTTTCACGGCTTTGGATGTAATTTCAGGCTGTAAATGAAATGAACAGATTTTCCTAAGTGCTCAGTTGCCAGTAGCTCCTGTGTTTTGTGGGGGTGGGAAGAGAGAAATTGGTGCTAAGACCACACAAGTGACTGAGTTTTGAACTTGCAGAGGCAATTTTTTATTTGCCACTTGTTCATTTTCCTTCACACAAATACTGGTGTGCTGGTTAACATCTTTCTTTGCACCAAGGTACGGAGATTTCAGCAGTGACCGAGGGGCACAATCACTGAGATACCTCATCTGGCCAAGGGGTGGCCCACCTGCACTTGATGTTCAACTGTCCCCACTACAGATTTTTCTATGGTCTTCAGGGGCTAACTATTGCTTTCTGCAGTCCTACGTAGGCTGCTGTGGTGTTTCTTGAACACAGCCATTTTGTGTTAAAACTGTAGTTGCAGCCATGGTACCAATCCAAATATATCTGTCTGCTATGCAAAGCTGCTTTCTGCTCCCAGACTGCTCTTGCTTTTAACAAGCGTTAAGTTTTTTTGCATAGAAGGTATGTCTTCTGTTTAAAGGGGCTTGTGGGGGAAAAAAACGTGATGACTAAATTTCATGAGGGTATTCATGAAAGGTGTCATCTTCTTTGATTCGTTTGGAAAAAAGACTTTTCAAAGGAATATGGAAATGACTATATTCCAGACTAATTAAACGATTTGTTGCAATAGAGTAGGGCTTCTATTCCATTAATGCAATGAAGACATGGCTTCAGTGGGACTGTTTATACTGAAAGTATGAAATTAAGTCTCTTCTCAGACAATGGCTCTACTGAATATGGAGATGCAGTAAGTATTTTACCACTACACTTTAACAAAGGATAATGATACAAGGAATGTATTTGGTTGGCAGCTGTGGGTTCCTGATATAATCTGAAGGATAAACTTGTTTATTGTTTCAGAGTGTCCTGTTGATGATAGGGTAAATGGCATGCCAATGAAATGAATCGGCAATGCAGAATTAGAAGCTGGTCAGAACATGGAGATGATGTGAAAGAAACTACATATGTGGTAGGGAAATGAAATTGAACATGGAAAAATGAGCTTTTGCATATCTGAGGGAAACAATCAGAAATGCAATACTGCAAAAGATGTCTGGCTTAAAAAATAGTTTAAAATATGTGTAATAGCTGACAGGAAATTAGGTATGAAGTGGCAAGGTACATGGGGCAAAGCTGTCATTTTCAGACATTATACACAAAACCATTTTAGAGCTAGTTGCTTATTATGGCTTTAGTATGATTGCACTTCTGGGCAAACTGTTATGAAAGATGTTGGGAAAACTGGAGGGAATTTGGAGTATAACAGTATTACTAACACTCTATAAGAATGATTCATGAGAAAAATGTAAATGATGAAATAGAGACCTTAGCTAAGCAATGATTAAGAGGGTACACTGTTTGCAAAAGTGAAAAGGCAGAAATGTTGGGGGCAGAAATGAATTAATGAGATGTAGGAAGAGCAACTTGAAATTAATACAAAATATAGGTTGGATGTGGGGAGAAATGGCACGAGCCCGAAATTGACTAGTTTCAGGAATAGTTTGAGATCCACGCCTTGAGATTCTTATAGTGATTTTATTCAACGAAATAAAAGATGTACCCTTTGGTGGAAGATAGTGAGGGATACTATGCCCAGCTCCTTTCTGATTGCCCATCTCTTCTGGTGCCTGAACTCCGAGGAACAATGGACCACTTCCCTCTGGTGGGGAACTGCTGAGGAAGATGCTTAGAAACTAGAAATGTGCAGCATTTCAGCCTCACCATTTTGCTGTTGTGGCTGAGCTAGTAGAATGGGGCACGCACTCACCGTAGGCTGCTGACAGAAGGCTACCAGAAATGCTGCAGCGCTTTGCTAAAATCTGTCCTCTGTTTCAGGACCCACTGGTGCATTGGAAGGGCAAAAGGCAGGAGAGGATTGCCTGCTGTAGGTGACTAAGAAGAGTCATGGAAAAAATGAAAGGATGTTTGTGGAAGACTGAGCTCCACCAAACACAATCCACGAGATAGTACGTAAAGTTGCAAAAGTTTCCACTTGGGAATGAGGCAATCACTTTATAACGCTGTATTTTATTTTATTTTTTTTAGCAGTACTCAATCTCAACCTGGGAAATGAGGTTGAGACACTCTTCCTGTGCCACCGGAAGGATGAAAAACAAACCACATATCTTGGAATAAGAGCTGGTTTCCTGCAGAATAATAATATTAAAAAATGGCAGCGATGCTGAAACCTAGAACAAGGTGGCTGTTCTTAAATAGGTTATGAATCATATGAAGCTCATCTCAGTGTTTCCTAGAAAATTAAAATGTCACATATCATCTGAAATGCCTCTGAATTACAAGCCTGCTAGTCCAAACAGCAGTTAACAACTGTCAAACAGCAGCTGAAAATGGGGAGCAAACAAGTTTGCCACATAAAATTATGATTTAAAAAAAAAAAAAAACAACTTGTCTTGCCCCTCAATTGGCAGAAGCTCCCATCAAGTTTGGCTTTTTTTTTTTTTTTTTTTTTCCTTTGCCATCTGATCCTGTTGAATATGCTAGCAAGATGCTGTTTCTAAGGACATTTTCCTCCTTTTTTTGTGATTTCTGGGTGTGGTGTGGGGGTAAAACTTACCAGTGCTTCTTCGTGCCCTAGATGTGAGTATTCCACACGGAGCTATTCCCATCCGAAATCTGATGCAGGTCTGGGGTTGGATGTGCCTTGTCATGGCAATTTATCCCAGCTGAGGATCTGGCCATGCAGCTTTTGCCATTAGACTCCTTCCAGCATTACCTTCGTCCTTTTGAACTACAGTTTAGTGGAATACTTGAATAGCGAAGATCTGATTCACTGCTGTAAACAGATGCATGCCATGCATTTCGTTTGGCTGGCAGCTTCAGCTATGCGCTTCATGTTGTAAAGCAAAGCCCCTTCCTTGTCCTCCTGGTGGCAGTAAAAATGTTGAATAACTTGTGATGCACAGAATCCTCTTGCATCAGGAGCAAATGCTGTAGAAAATAACATGCATAATACAGTCCAGGACTATGTTTATATTTTGGCAATAGCTGAGGTTTGTATATGGTGCTAGGGCCAAGAGGAAAAAGTGAGCGTTGCCATCGTAGAGAGCTCTGTGTGATCGGAAGTTCCTGGTTAAAGACAGGACATGGAAAACCGGGCATTTCGTTCTCCTTTTAATACTGTCTTTGTTTAGGGGTTTCATAATGTAATTTGCATTTTTTTAAATTTTTTTTCAGTCCTGAACCTGAAACTTGCCTCGTGGGGGGAGCCTTGCTCAGGATACCTTTGCAGGTACTCAGTCTTCACTTACTGCCTTTCTAATATGAACAAAATCTTGGTGCTGGGGAAACGAAAAAGTCTCTAACTTTGCTAGGGCCAGCATGGACTTGTAAATGCTGCGATTTGGACAACGCTGGCCTAGCTGAAATGCAGGAGCTGAGGCAGGGCAGTGGTGGAGGTACTTTGACATGTGTTACCTATCCACGCCACAGTGAAATGGAGGAGGTCACCCCTTAACTTCACTGCTTGTGCAGGTTCAATTTGGTCTTCATTCACTTATCTGGAGGCAAGTCTCCTCGAGGGCTCATGGCTCCAGTGAGGAACTGAATAAACATCAATTTCTGATTATTTATTTTTTTGAGGAGGATGAGGCGAGAGTGACAACCAGGGCTCTGCTGAGCAAAACCCTGTGACAACTTTTCCCCAAAACCACGCAGGATTACAGCCGTGCTCCGATGGCAGCAGCACACACACCTGCAGCTCCTCTTCGGCCTGTCAGCTGGGCACCGGCTTCACCACAAAGTTGGCGGTGCTTGTGCTTCTCCTGCGTGGGGACAACCACAGCTGTGGGGACAACCCTAAAATCGCAGCCTCCCCGCTTCTGTGGGGCGAGGAGTGCGACCCCCCAGTGTGCCTGAGGCCGGCTGCACCCCTTGAGGCTGTGGTGTGGGATCTCAGGGAGACGTGTGGGGGGACACACACCAACCCCGCGCCCCTTTGGGGCAGCCCGGGCCGGGCGCAGGCAGCGTGGCCGCCATTTCAGGGCCCCCCTCAGGGCGGTGGCGGCGGGGTCCGCCCCGTCAGGGGCGGCTCCGCGGCTGTGGCTGTGGCGGCGGCGGCTCGGGGCCGCCTCCCCCGTCCCCGCCCCCGGTTCCCTTCCCCAGTCGCGGCGGCGGCGGCTGGACGGGAGCGGAGCGGAGCCGAGCCGCGCTGCCAGCCCGCCCCGTCCCATCCCGACCCGAGCTGGGGCAGCGCCGGGGAGGGAGGGGAAGGGGTCGGGGTGGTGCTGGTGGTGGTGGTGGGGTGGGGGAGAAGCACCCGCGGCCCCATGCGCTGAGTGAGGGGCTGCGGGATGGGGCTGCGGGGCGGTGGCGGCTGGGCTGGCCGCTCTGGGGCGCCGGCTCCCGGCTGGACGTGCCTGCTGCTGCTGCTGCTGCTGTGTGCAGCGCTCCGGAGCCTGCTGGCCAGCCCCGGCAGCGAGGGTGAGCGGGGCAGGGCCGTCGGGGGTGGAGGGGAGGTGGTGGTGGTGGTGTGTGTGTTTTTGTAGGGCTGCAGCTGCTGGGGTTTGTTTTTGGGGGGCTTGCAGGGGTGTCTCGGTGAGGTTCGGAGGGTTTGGGGGCTGCGGTGCGCGCCCTCGGTGCGTTCAGAGCTGGGGATGGTGGTGGGGAGACAGCGGGCACAAGCGTGTGGATCGGCTGCCCTGCCTGGCACGGCCACTGCCAGGCTTCCAAATTGGACTTTTCTCCTTCCCTTCTACCCGGTTTGGGCACTGCATGAGTCTTTACAACGCAAATATTTCGCGTTCACGGCAGGCTGCGAGGTGGAAGCGGTGGACGGGGAAGTTGAGCATCCTGAAGGGATGCCGCTTGCTCGTCGCAGGCTGGTGTCTTTTTTTTTTCTTTTTTTTTCTGTAATTATTTGTGAAACTCCTTCAGAGGGTGGACGTGCGCAGGACAACGCTGGCCAGAGCCTCGGCGATGTGGCTGGCAGGTGAGCAGCGAGCTGCGATGTGTTTCGGGGAGCGCGAACGATGCGGGTCGCGGCTTCCCAAAAGTAAAGGGAGGGGAAGATGCCGCTCTGCTGCCTGCGGAGATGCCGAGTGGTTGGGAACCACACTGGCAGGAATGGGAATGGCTTTGGCTTCGCCTCGGTTTGAGGTAGAGGTGGGCCCGATCCTTCTGCCCCTATGTGGTTTTTGGGTGATTTCACCCCTGGGAGCGATGGCCCAGGAGGCTGCTTGTGGCAGGCGCTTCCCATCGCTCGCCTCCCTCTTCCCCATCCTGCACCTTCCCCTGCTCCCCAACGCGGTGCCGAGGGGCTGAGGGATGCTCAGGGCCCCGTTTCGGGCATCTTTTCATTTTTTTGGAAAATGCAGATGGTGCTGCCCAAGTCAGCGGGACCGTTCCCTGAGTGCAGAGGTGCCTCTGCGCTAGCGGGCAGGCGGCGTGCATAGGAAGCAGGGCTGGAAACGATTAATGAAACTGCTGAGCAAACTGGCTCAGTGGCATCTTTACAGGGAGGTTGCGGGGGAACGTTTCAGCGATGATTAGCAGCGTGAGCGTTTGCTTCACGGTCTCTCTCCTCCTGCTTCTCTGACTGCCGCTCTCTAATTTCTGTCTCTTCAGTAAATGCAAAGCTAAAAACCCTGCTGGTGGTGGTGGTGGGGGGGGTCTGACTGTGGACCTGAACTTGCTCGATAACTGCTGTCCTTTGCTGCTAGGAGATTTATTTGTAAACAAGCATTATTTGACAAGTGCTTCTCGCAGCATGTCTCCTTTGCCAATTACAACCGAGCGGCTCTGCTTCTGGGAACGGCTCACCCTGCAGTGTGTGAATCCGACTGCATGAGAGAGAAACCTCAGACGCTGAAGCCAGCCCGCCTCGCCGTCTGCCGCTGCCGCTTGTCACTGATTTGGGTTTGAAAAGTTCAAACCTGGGCTGCTTTCAGGTCCCGTAGAGAGAGAGCCTCCCCTGGGGTCAGTTGTCACATTCAGCTGGTCGGAAACTTTACTTGTGCTTGGATGGAGGGAGCCGTCTCAGAGCTGTGAATGCTTTTAAAAGTTGCTTGTCTTGGTTTTCCTGGGTCTCGTTGTGTGCCCTCACCTTACTCGCCGTGGTTAAAAAACACCTGGCTGATAACTTGTGCTGTATTGGTACCTAACACATGTAGTTGCATAGAGGATGGTAAATTCTCATAATTACTATTTTCTTACGCTCTGTGTCACGTTTATTTCTCTAAATCTTACTGTAATACGCAGTGATGTTGTAGGATAAGATACGTGCCATTAACAATTCACAGTGCCTGAATTTCTGTTTTACCCTCTAGTGGAGAGAGACTTAGGGGAAAGCACTCTAAAAAATCTAGGTTAAGATTTGGAGGGGAGGAAAGTAAATTCAGTGTTTGGGTTCCGTAGCATGGAAATAGCTTTTGAAAAGCACAGCTGAGTTTCTGAAGCTTCTGCCATTTTTATGGGGAAGTATCGAGTGCCTAGCCTATATTGTAAATGTTAGATATCTCCAGTTATAGATTTTAGAATATACATTGGGGAAACTGAATTGAATTTCTGCCAGGTTTCTCTATGAAAGGGAAATAAAAGCAATTTTTATTTCAGTTGCCTTTTCTCAGGCTATGTATCAAAAGCAAAATATGCCTTGAAGGATGAATGCTCAGTGCTATTTCATGTTCCAGGTATTGTTTAGCCGTTATTTGTAACTCTTCAGCAGAGTTCATTCATTGGAATCAGAGTTTTCCTTCTTCCCTTTGACTGTATTTTTTTTTTTTAATTTTTTTTTTTTTACAAATTCAGAAATTTGTCACCATGAAAATATTCCAAATTATACCATGAGAATACTGCAGAATTTTGAAACACCAGGATTTCACGAGGGGTTTGTTACTTTCAAATGCATCACCTATGAAAATGTGCAGGGAACTGCTGCCCTCCAGTTACCATCGCGTTTGATCAAATGTTTCCTTGCAGAAATAAAATGCGTTTGGGTGTTGTGATAACAATCAGAAATACATTGCTTCCCCCCTCCCCGTCTGAAGCACTGTTGATACTGCAATTACCTGAGCTGTATATTTATGGGAGCCTTGTAATTTTGAAGTGACAGTGGGTAAACCCGAATAGATTTCCTGTGTGGGCTGTATCTCTTATTTTATTTTTTTTCTGCTGGCAGCAACTTCTGACCTGTCACAGGCACAAGAGACAGCCCTGGAATATCCGAATGGGTTTCCTGCACCTCCTTTGGTTTAAAAATGCACGTTTTAAATCATTCTGCTGGAAGTGCCAGGGCTTGGGAAGTGGCTTTTGTATATTATTTAGGCAAAACACAGAATGAACGGAGGAATTGTCTAAAGACCCCTAGCACCAGCCCCAACTTCAGCGTGATTTGTTACATGTCGCCCATGGGTTTGGATTGGTTTGGAAATCACCCAGATGACCTTAGAAAGTGTCATGTGGGCAAATTTTTAAAAGGATGGAGTACATTTTTAAAAGAACGGGATACATTGCATCTTCTGATTTCTTGTAGCAGAGTAGCTCAAAAACATGCCAGCGTAATTGTCATTAAATAAAAAGGAATATTTAATTTCAGGGCTTTTGAGGAGGCAGCACTGTTCCAACAGGGTATATTGTGAAAGCAGATGAAAAGAAATATGGTTTGAAATACTGGCTGTGACTTAGACAAAGGTGAGGAAGGCAAAGCCAATGTGACTTTGTAATGTGTGTTGCATTTGTTTCAGGGACTTGAGCTGCAGAATAGCCTTCTGCTCCTCAGCTCCTGCATTCAATCCTCCTCCTCTGAATTCTTGTGGGAATTTTTGAAGCTCAGTTTGTCTTCATGTATCATTTTTAATTTGAATAAATGAATACAATTAAAGGGGTGGGTCTGGTACAGGCAAACATAGAGGAAGGTTATAATTTGCAGATTATTCATGGTGGAGCATGGAACGAGCCTCCATGTTTTAAGGATGTTGACTCAAGCGTGCTTTGTTTTGGGGCAATGTCTCATTTCTATCATGGAACACCACACAAATGCCTATTTAGGTATAACAATGTTGATTGTTAAAGATGAATGAAGTCCCTTTCCAAGGAGGATTTCACGTGTTTGGTAGAAGTAGGTGTGAAGATACTCCTCTTCCTTTTCCTATCAGTCTATTTCAATCATCCTAATGCTTTGGGTAGAAATAAATATGAGACATTTCTTATGTTTCTCCTACTGGCTTGGCTTCGTGTGCTTCAACTATTGTATTTTTTGTGATTCTGTAGGTCCTGAGTGCTGCTAGCAAGCAGTTATGTTGAGTATGCAGAATTGTTCATCTTGGAAGCATTTCAACCCATCAGCAGTGCTTTATAAGGACTTTTTGAGGAGGGATTTGTTCTTTTTGTGTATTGGAACCATCCCCTATACACTTACCGTAACGTCAGTGTGTAGCCTTGGTGCTGTGCACCTATTTTACTCATAGGAGTAATCCCATTAACTTTCAAATTTACTGCAGTGGAATTACTGGAATGAGGAGGGACAGCTCATGTCTAATGGTCTTTTTGGGATCAGGCTGATGTGATGTATGCCTTTTCAAGAGGTTCAGAATGGCTCTGTCATGATTTTATAATGGGAACTGCTATCCTTTTGACAGTAAAAACAGCATTTGAAACGCAGCACTTTCTAGGTACATGACTAAAAGCATTGCTGCCTAATGACACATGTTGAAAAAAAGGGAAATAAACAATAGCAAAAATTGACTTCAATATAGTACCTATTTCTTTTTGAGGCATATTTTAAAAAATGTAATAAATAGCGGAAAACAAGCAAACTGTCTTAAACGGAGCCACTGACAGACCGTCAGCTTATAGCATGGTAAATGTTTGACACCATAATTTGATGTATAAAGCAGCTATTTGCAAATCAATTTACAGATGGATAAACTGACAGGTACCATGGGGGAAGGAGAACAGCTAGTGGGCTTGTCTGACAGCTTCTTCCCCCTCCTCCGTGATCTCTCCCACAGTTACCTAACGCTTTTGGCTCCAACGCGCCGTCCATCTCCACGTCTGCTCTTCTGTTGCTGTGAAATAAGAAAGCAAGATCTCACCCGTAACGAAATGTGTACTTACTGCAAACAAACAATGCGTTTTGTAGCAAGCCATGAGAGGGAAGGTAGGAGCAGGATTTCGTCAAATCTTCCAGAAATTGCAGAGCCAGGGCAGTTCGTTACATGGTGCCTCGCTCTCTGATCTAGCTGCTTTATTGTCCTGAGGATTTCCATGTTGCCTCTGCAGAAATCCTTGTTTCTGTCATGTGCTGAGCCACAGAGGAGTCCCCAGCCCGAGAAGGAGCAGCAGGAATCCCTCAGCTGAGCAGTGGTGCTGGATGCTGTTGTATTTGGGGTCTGGATTGGAAGTGGGGCTGCTGGACCCCCCAGGTCATATGGCTTGGAGTTGAAAGCAAGCTTTTAGCAAGTGCTCCATTGTTTTGGTGAATA